GCCGACCCACCAGCCCGGCCAGGCGCCTTCCCGGCCCGGCCCCTGCCCCAGGGGGCCCCGCTCGGAGGGAAGGTGAGAGAGACCCGCCCCCCCGTCACCCCCGGGCTGCAGGGGGAGGAGGATAAAGAGGGGCAGGGGGTGAGGGCAGGTGGCGGGGAGCGGGGTGGGGGAAGGAGGCGGGCGCTGGGGATGCGGGGGGCAGGCTGGGATGGGGGCGGGGGCGCACTGAAGGGAACATGGGGCGATGCGGTGGGATTGTGGGGCTGAGGGGAGCGAGGCTGGAATGGGGAAGATGTGAGTGGGGGGCACTGCGAGGGAAGTAGGGGTCTGGGGAGACTAGCGGAGGACAGAGGCAAAAACCCATCCCCCCACACCGACACCCTGCTCCCAGTGTGTTATTGTCAGACACACCCGTGCTGGTGGGGTCTGTGTCTCATGAGTTTTGGGGTCGCCCAGGGTCCTGGTCTGATTTCTGGGCAGGATTCACATCTCAGCCACACCGGAGTCACTGCTGCTTTGGGCAGGCAGGGAGTGTGGATGGGCCAATGGGATCAGCCTCTGCCTGCCTGTCCCTGGGGGCTGCTGGGGGAGTCCAGGGCAGCTCATTCTTTAGTGATGCCATCACAGGGCTCCTGCTGCTCCTAAGGGAGATGAGTTTACACGGCAGTGTGGGAAAATCCCCCAAAGTGGCCCCTTTAGTTCTGCTTTTTTTCTAGCATTTGGCTCAGAGATACTGTTACTGGGAGGATCTGAAGAGTCTGGGAGGGAATCACGGTGTTACATGGACTGAAGCCCCTTCTGTAACCTCCCCCATCGCCCCTCTTGCCCTGACAGGCTGAGGAATCACGTCCACCTTTTGCTCCAGATGGGCCCATCTTCCAGGAGACAGGGAAGGGAAATGTCTGTGATGGAGCCAGCTCAGGTAGGGGATTATCAGGGAGCTCCTGGGCAGGGGCAGGGAGGAGACAGGATGTGATAAACCTGCTAATTTTCTGAGTGGGCCCATTGGTGATGGGGGAGGGGAGATGGGACATTCCCCCATTTCTCAAACAGGATACAATCCCCTTGCACAGGGCTGGGAGTGAGACCCCACTAGCCACAGGCTGCTGTAAAATACGAAGGGAAGCTGTTGGGATTCCTGTCACTGGCTCAGAGTTCTGCTTCCCGTATCAGCCTGTGTCTCACAGGTGTGTGGGAAATGAGAAGACCCTGCCCTCCTCCGTGTGCTGGGGGGAGACAAGTAGCTCTCACCTTCTCCCCATCCCCTGAAGGCTCCTGGCTGCTCTGAGCAGGGTGGGGGTGGGATTCTGCTACTCTGTCACTCCCAGAGCTTCCATTTCTTTATCTGTCCTCACACATGACTAGTGGGATTGTGGCTGGAGCATCAGGTAATGAGTGGGGGCTTTTGTTGTTCCAGATGCCAGTGACCTTCGAGGAGGTGGCTGTGTATTTCACCCAGGGGCAGGGGGCTCTGCTGGACCCCGCTCAGAGAGCCCTCTACAGGGACGTCATGCAGGAGAACTACGAGACGGTGACCTCACTGGGTAAGGGATTCTTGTCCCCTCGGTTATTCGAAGTCGTGGGGTCTGCATGTCTAACTCTGTTCAGGTTCTTCCCTGGTCAGTTAGCTCAGAGGCGAATGGGTTCCATAATGCACAGCTGCCGTGTGAGAGAGACTTGCATCTCTGTGCCCTCTCCAGTGGGACATGGGTGTCAAAACACAATGGACAAGCTAAACCATCCCCACCCTCCAGTTTTCAAAGGGGCATAAATCCATCATTGTCCTGTCTGTGTTGTTTCGCAGCTGCACAAACAATCCCTGTTCACCTCCCTCCTTGGGAATAGCTCCAGCCATGAGGAGGGCTCTGGGCTCTGCAGGTTTAGAAAGAGGCAGGCGTTTAAGTCCAGAGCTGTGTGTGAGTCAGCAAGGCCCCCAGAGTGCACAGATCTTGGGAACGCCTAGTGAGGGTGTAGTAATCATTCAACTCACCTCCCCAGATAACTTCCTCTGCGCAAGAGACTCAGTGACCATTTTCCCGTCCTCTTGGCTTCCACGTTCCTCCAGCAGAGCGCAGGGACAGGTTCCACTCACGCAATGTCCTTTCTGACAAATACTCCACCAATGCTCCATGCACCCTGATCTGGTCTGATTTCACCCTCTGCACAGGATTCCCCCTTCCCAAACCTGAGCTGATCGCCCGGCTGGAAGAAGGGGAGGAGCCCTGGGTGCCCGATCTCGAGGCGTGCAAGGAAAGAAGGCTTCTGAGATGCACCTGTACAGGTGAGGACTGACACAGAAACCATCTAGGGAATGAAGGAAAAAGGTTAGGATCCCAAAATATGGTGTGAGTAAGCGCCCTCAGTTCTTCCTCATCTCAGTCAGGACAGGGCTGCAGTCATCAGATATAGCTCACGCCATTCCACCCAGCCTCTTCTCTGCAGGAGTTTGCTTCCCAGCTTTCCTTCCCTGTGAGTGTTTGGGTGAGATGTGGAGGCGGAGTCCCGTTGCTCAGTCTTTGTGTTGGGTTTTCCCTTTGTGCTATTCCTCTTTCTCCCCAGCACAATGACTCCTGTCTGGATTGTGTCTCTCCCAGCAGGTGCTGAGCGAGGGAGTGAGAATGAGGAGGGGAATCATCATGAGGAAGTTCCTGGGGAAGTGGAACCGCAGGGGACCTTTGTAGGAAGAGCTGAAGGGAATTTTTCCCAGTACTTGGACCAGGCAGAAGCCTGGGGAAGTTGGCACAGGTCAGAGAGGCTTCTGGGACACCACCCAGGGAAGAAAGTGGATGAATCTGTTAACGGTGGGGGAGGAGAGGAGGATCCCACAGCGCCGCAGACAAATGCCAAGAAAGAGCCACCCTGGCACTACCTTCAGTCTCTCGAGTGCGGGAAATGTTTCATATCAAAGACACAAATAATTAGACATCAGTTAAGCCACACAGGGGAGAGACCCCACAACTGCTTGGACTGTGGGAAAAGTTTCACAGAGAGGGCAAACCTTGTTCAACATCACGCAATCCACACAGGAGAAAGACCCCAAAGGTGCTTGGACTGTGGGAAAAGTTTCATACAGAGGTCACACCTTGTGAAACATCAGGCATTACACACAGGAGAAAGACCACACAAGTGCTTGGACTGTGGGAAAAGTTTCATACAGAGGTCACACCTAGTTCGTCATCAGGCAATCCACACAGGAGCGAGACCCCACAAGTGCTTGGACTGTGGGAAAAGTTTCATACAGAGGTCACACCTAATTCGCCATCAGGCATTACACACAGGAGCGAGACCCCACAAGTGCTTGGACTGTGGGAAAAGTTTCATACAGAGGTCACACCTAATTCGCCATCA